GCTAGGGGCTGAAGCATCTTCTTGCAGGTAGGTCAAAGTGGCCTTGATCAGGGCACATCTGGCAAGTACCTGTGCAAATGGCAACCCATTTTAGATATAACCATGTATTTATGAGGGTGCTGTTCATTAGATGCTGTGCTTCTGCAAGAGGAGCACGTGCACCTCATTTGCATACCTTGTCCTTTCCTGCACAAAAACACATTCACCAGTTCCAGTCAAGTCTTCCACACGGGTCCCACTGAATTTGTTACTGCCTTGTAACACCAGTAATCCTGAAACTGGTAAGAAGGGGACAAAGAAAGAGTGAGGCAATAACTGGGAGCAAAACAGCTCTCAGTAGCAACATACCGCATGGGCTGTGGGCAAAGCCACCAGCCGGCTGGAAAGTGAGTTTGGTAAAACCCAGGCACAATAAGCACTCCATATGATGTATAATTTATAAAGTGTAGCAACACTCTTGAAAAGGCTTTTAATTTTAGAAAACCCACTCAAGAAGATAAAAACGCACCATTTAGAGGATAGAGTGGCTCCATGGGCAGAAAAGCCCTTAGATAGGAGGAATGGCTGTCTGGGACATTTGCATTTTGTAACTGCATGTGCACGGGGCTAATAAGAGCAGTGCAAGCAGAAAACACCAGGAGAATTTATACTCTGTATGGTAAAGGATAAGCTGTGCAAGAGAAAAGAACTAGGAAGAAGTTAGCATAAAAAGGACAAGCACAGGAGTGTGCCTGAGCCCGTGGTGGCAGCTGCAGTTAACCTTGGCCACCGGACCTGCCTCACTTCTGCATCACCTCTATTGAAATGCTGGCTCTGTTCTATCTCATCACTTTGTTAGAGAGGGAGTTTTCTGGGAAGTAACGGTAGCAATGACCTGTACATAAACCGGCTCTGCTGGTATTTCTAGCAGAATTACTGTAATGATTACTTCTGACAACCAGGCTGTTGAACAACTCTACCCGGCACATTTCCATATCAATCTGTGGCAGGAGCAATGTTTTCCCTCAGCAGCGAGTGACCCTTGTGTCCACACGAGGCTCTGCCAGCGTGTGAGTGTATGGTTTGTATTCCCAGGCCTGGCTTGGGTCACTGTTACACACAACCCACTACATCCTTGCTTGCAAAAGCAGATTTCTTCAGTGCTCCCTCCTGTAGATCATTAATCAAGAACTTCTATTTCAGCAGACACTCCAATAAAATGAATGGCCAAATAAATTCCTTCTATCAATGAAAGATGATTCATAACCACTTTTTGTATGTATCCACAGTAATGGAAGAAGATGAAATGCAGTTTTCTCCAGGTATTTTTTTGCTAACATTATGAGGCAAGTGTATTGATGGCTGCTTTCTACATTGAGAGTACAAACACAGAACAACAGCAACAAAAAATCTGCTTCCAGAGTTCTTATTGGGATTCTAGTGAATGTTTTAAATCCCTGTCTTTGAATGGATAAAATCACATTTCCTGGTTTTCAATTTGGGATGTTTTCAAGGCATCAGTTTCATTTTTCTGTATTTTCCACAGTCCATGACAGAAATGTCATCAGAGCAATGGCAAAGTTTTGTTCAGGATTTCAGAGACTGACTTCTAATCTCCATCACCTCACTGATCTATACCTCAGCAATTCCATTAATTTCCTTGTGTTTTCAGTCCTTTGTCTACCTGGATGACTTAGTATTAAAGTTTTCCAGAGCAGGGAATATCACTGATCAAATTTCTGCATCACCCAAGACATCAGGCCCCTGATCTACACGCTAATACAGTGGCAGTGGCTTCCTTCCAAATATTTCTTTTGTATATTACAATGAAACCAAGTTTTCAATAACGTAAAGACAACAGAGCTGATTAAAGACTAACTCCTGGGGAAGGACAAACACTGCTTCTACCTTAAGGGACGCATTTAGAAATTACAGCTCCCTTTGGCAGCTGGGAAGATGCTGGAATCCATTATTCATCAATCAAGTTGTCATCACCTAGAAGACCAGCTGGTGGCCCAAGAGACATCACCAATATACGTTTATAAATTTCCCAAGAAGAAATAATCAACAAAAAATCAAAGTTAAGGAGGATTTGGTGCGGAAAGAGAAGAGAGGGCATGTGGGGAGGAAAGGCACAGGAGGGGCAAACGAGAACGTCACTGAGGCAGGACTAGACGAGGTCTGGAAGTAAACCCCCGGTGTGTTGTCACCCAGATGAGGAACCTTCGTGACAGGGAATGCTGCGTCAGTCCCCAGTGCTGACTGTGCCCAAAACCACGCCTCCCCTGCTCAATACTGCTCTCCAAGAGTGGGGCTGAGGGACCAGCAATGTGGGATTGCTTGAACCAAACCATGCCCTGGGAACTGGAGGCTCCCGTGCACCCTCCTCATGGCTTTCCCCCCAGTAGTCCCTTGAGTGAACCAAAGTGGCTGTTGATGCCTCCTTGTCATAGAGCAACCTCATCTAACAGTGAGAAAAAGATGAAAAACAGGGAAAAAAGGCCATTAAAAAGGTGTCTCTTCAGCAAATACATAACAAAAGCATTTCACACACTTTGAGTGTCCCATTATCAAAATACATATAGTCACCTCTCAACGCTTAATATGGTTGAAATTATCTCACCTGTCTTCACCATTATTCTTGGTGACAAGTGAGCAGTATAAATGCCCCACAGCTCTAGGATAAATGTTCTTCCCATACAGATTATGTTACATGATATAGTGCTAACAAACATATCCATGGTAAGCAAACAGACATGCTAATCTATAAAGACTTAGATGAAGGAAGAAGCCAGCAATCTGTCAAGAGTTATCAGTTTGTTTTTCTCCCTGTGTAACTATAGAGATTTCTTTTTACACTATCTCCCCTTGCTGCTCAGGAGATTAAGCATGAATCGCAGCTGGAACACCATTTTCCTGGAGTTTAACCAAAAAGGCCTCCATCTCCCACGCCCCAACAAGGAAACAGTCTTCTCTGAAACTTCTAGTTCTGTAATTAGGAATGCTCTTACTGTGTATTTATCAGTAGGAATAAAGAGGAGAAACAGGTGAAAACAGCATTCCAGCACTGCTATCAAAACAAATAGAAGTGTGGCTTCAGAGAAGCTGTGCCATAGGTATTTGTAAGCACTCCTGTCTGGTTTTTGTTGCTGTTTGAGTGCTCCATCGCTTTCTTTCCTCTTTATCTTTGAAGACATTTGTGGCTTCCCCAGCCCACTCAACATTATTTCAGCTCTTGTCAGCACCAGGTATTGCTCCTTAGGGGCTGGGCAACCCATTGCACTGGAGGAAATGAGAAATCCAAACCACCTCCTCAGCTCTTCCTCATCTCATCTCAGCTCAGCTCAGCTCAGCTCCAAAACCATCAGCCACTTAATCAGGGTCACTGTCCCAGGCTCAGCACTCCTCATGCACCTGTGGTCCCAGGACAATGAGGGAAGTGCTTACCCTGTCGCTTCACTGTGTTGAACCAGTGGGAATTCCAGGCAGCCAAATCACCAGAAAACTATAAAAATTATTTAAAGCTATACAAAAAAACTCCCAAATTTTAGATTCAACCTGCATTTAGCAGTTAAATGAGAGAAAAACATGGGAAATATTAACTGAGAATCTCACATTGCCACTTATATTAAATGATAATTCACATCATGTTTTCTTTAATGAATGGGACAGAAATGCCTTCCATTCTACGTAAATTAGAAGCATTTATACCCTAAACAACTGAATCATAACGATGCAGCTCTGGTCCAACTGATGTCAATAGGATTACTCACGTGAGTGGTTACTTGTCAGTGTGATTAAGAGGTCACTTGCTAATGGCAAGTGAGACACCATTTGCAGAACACTGCTATCAGAGTCCCACAGTGCTTTGGAAATGATGGCCAGCTTCCCATAACTGTGCTCTGCCTCAGTGCAGGACATCTCCTGGTGCAGAAGGTGTTCCCCCAACACCTGCATGCTCACACCTGGGTCTGTCCTCTGGGCAGCTTATGGATCCAGCCCTGAGGTGCATCCCATTCCTCTTGGGGAGGAAGGAATCTATGGGACATGCTCTGTACAAAACAGGCATTTAGAGGTTTCTAAATGGCCAAGCATCTCTGTGGTTGTCTGTTTGGTACCTGCACACTACCCCACGTGCACACAAGTCACTGTCAGCATCTCATAACTATCTCTCCCACAGACACAATCTCTCCTCCTCCATCCTTCTCTGAGATGCTGCAGCCATGCAAAGAAAATCTTCAGGAACAGGTTAGGAGAGCATGAAGAGGAATAATACCTTCTCTGGAAGATGTGAATGCAGAGTTAAGTGCATACACCTGATTTTGCCCAGGACATCCATTCTGCACATCATCAGATTGTATGGCCACCTTTTACACATCCCCTGCAGATGGGGCTTGTGGTGTTCCAGCACCCTGGCTCCTTGCTGGCTTGTTTGTTCAGCATAAACTCATAGCAGAAAGTGCCATCTTCAGTCACAAACAATTCCTCACAGCACCATGAAATTCCTATGAAATCTCACATCCAAGTACTGGCCAACCTCCAACCCGCTTAGTTTGCAAGATCTGATAGGATCAAAGACTGAAGTGGAATAGCCCCAGGCAACAAAAAGTACAAAAATGTATGTACGCCAATGCAGTGAATGCTAATTCTACTCAAAATAAGTTTGAAAATAGGAATATAACACCTGCCTCTCTCTGTGAATACTCTGAGGTAACCCATGAGTGATACAGCTACCCCAGAACATGCACAGGCATTAATCTATAGGGGGTTTTCATGCAAACCCAGTCAAAAATACTACCAAGTCCATAAGAGCCAGTGAGTGAAGCTGTGAGGAAGTCACTCCACGAGCCAACACATGGGCAAGGCTGAGGAGAGCTGCTCTAAGAGCACAGGCAGAGTCAGCTCTTCATCCACAGCCAGTGCCAAGAGGTGGGCTCTTGGATGAGCTGTTTCCTCTCTATGTGACAATGTAAAGGGCCCCATGGACCTGCAGCAGCCCCTGGCATGACGTGGGGCAGCTGGGCAGCCAGGACACAAACCTTCACCTGGCTCCACCTGAATCCATTGCCTATTAGAAGAGCTGTTACAAACAGCACAAATTACTTCACATCATTTAATGTACTACTGGGATTAGATACTCCGCTGATGATAACCTGTTGATAACTGGGCCCTAAAATCTTTCTGTTACCCCACTGCACAGAAAACTTGGCCAAAAGCAGCATTTGTTGGGGTCCCACTTGGGAAACACACAGTGCTGGGCTGGTAAACAGGCAAAAAGGGCTATTCATCTGCAGAAGAGCAGGATTTGTTCATTACTCTTCCTGGACACTATTGACCTTAGCACAAATAACCAGACTGATGGCTTAGAGGCTCCATTTGGCTATCAGACTTAAACTCACTTTATAACATAACCTAATTCCTGCTGAGGCTGCTGGCGTGGCTAGCACGGCTCCCAGCTCAGCTGCTCCTGAACGTAAATGATGTTTCACTTACTTCTTTACTCTTTATCTACCAAGAAAAAATAAATACTGCTTTTAACTTGAAGTAACTTCATAAAGGGCAGAGAATGGACAAATCTTCCCACGTGTACGGACCCATTCAACAAAACAAAGACCCGTTAGATCTGCCGACTCCCTCTGTAACTCTGTCTTTGGGGAGCCAGCAGTAAGGGAACGTGATGAAATGGCTTCCCTGCTGAAGACAAGCTCTTGTGGGAGCAATGCACAGCTGATGCAGAGAGGGACTTTCAGACAGGACGAAGGGAGTTACTGCAAAAGTACAGAGAAAGGTGTCAAATTCTTACCTAGGGAAACCCGAAGTGTATTGTCTGTCATGCTGAGGGAGCTCCTCTGAGAAGAACACTATAGAGGAGCAGGGAGAGCAGTAGTTAATCTCTGATACATTTCAGCAGTGACACCTGGGATTCTAGAAATGCTTTTCCCCCCTTATGGCACCTACAGACAGTGCCAGTCACCTCCAGAATTCTATTTACCAAAGTTATTAGGATGTCTGTGTACCATTAAGGACCACTTGACTGGGTCCATCCTATTAGAGAGTAGGCTGGATGGAGCAGCAAGCAGCCTACTCAAAAGTTCATGGCAAGATGAATCAATGAGGAGCATAGTGCAGCAATGGGAGATTCCCCCATGGTTCTAGAGAGCTGTGAATAACACCTGTTAGCGAGCAGATGGGCCTGCTGCTCCAGCACATCCCTTTCATCCCCTCATTCAGCAGGTCCCTTGCAGGGGGATGTTTTGATGTGCTCCACCTCCCACCTATGGAGGCAGTGGATGTGTTTCTCCACTTTGCTTTCAACTCCTGCTCTGTGCTCACCTCCAGATGAAAAGGCTCTCCCTGGGAACCCTGCATCAGTGGTAAAGTAATTCCAACTCTTTGCAAGAGCAGCTCTGACTTCAGGACAGCAGTATGTGCATTTGAAGTCTACCACAACCTTTTTGTCAACAGCATTCTCATCACCACCAAGTCAACTTAATAAGCACAGTTCATCAGCCCTGTCCCTTTGACTGCTTCTTTCCTGAAGGGAGATATAATGCATTTAACATGTCAGATACTTAAAGGGTTCTTTCATGCACAGCCTCAGTTCATCGCTAATAAAATACAGTTCACTCTGCTGTTTTGCTCCCCGTGTGCTGCATGCTGAGCACACAGGTACTGAGCTCAAGACAGAGCTTCTCATCACGTTTTTTTTTAGCAGGAAATGGTTATCTGAAGACTCATTAAAGCCTTCCAGACCTTCAGTTGCCCTGTGTCAGATGCCATTAAACAAGTGCTGTAATGAAGAACAGCAGCAAGTGCAGGCAGGCGATGCTGGCGAGGCCCTGGCAATGATGCTCCTCTGCCTGGAGCAGAGGCAGCTCTTCAAACCCATCCACAGAACGAGCTCTTCTGACCACCTCCGTCCTGCAAGGCAGAGAGCAAGTGACTCTCTCTCCATGGGGAAGATGTCTCTGCAGGAACAGTGCTGAGCTGCTGGCTTCAGAGACCAAGCTGGCATCCCAAATATCCTGCTTTTCCAAGAGGAATTACTTCCTGAGATGAAGGCATTGCTCACAGGCTCTCAGTCTTTGCCTCAAACAATTTTATTTAGAAAGACACAACTTTGGGCTGTTTGTCCTGAGCAGGATGGATGTCATTCATCTCCTTTCACCAGTCATTAGAGCTTAATGCCTCCCAAAGCTTCTCAACTGCAAATTCCTTCCTAATACAAAGTTAAAAACAAGCTCTGAAATGCAAATAGCCCAGCAACCTACACAAGATGATTTATGCCATGCCACCTTTTTCATGCAAATAAATTAAAAGAAGAAAATGTAATTTAGGATGAACTGCATTGTATAATAAAATAAAAGAGTGACATTATGTCTGCAGAGCTCTGGGTGCAATGTGCTGCTGCCATTGCTGCTGGAGGTTTCACCTTCCCAAACAGGGTAACAGAAAAAGATTCTGATTTGTTCAGTTTGATTTTGTATACAAATCATTTTGTGGCTTCGGGCACGTCCAGAAAAGACACTTCTTTGAATTTCTCTATCCTGATGTCACTTCAAGGGAAGGCAGAAAGTCTGATTCCCAGTTAATGTTTGAAATAGCAAAGGAGAATTAAGAGCCTCCTGTAACAGCAAACCAAGACAAGCCCAAAACCCTGCAGTGGTCCAGGGATATGCTCCTCATGCTGGCTGGTTCAGAGAGTGCTGAGGATATCAGCAGGGTGAGATGGCTCCTTATCAGAAACCATTAGAAAAGCAACCTCAGAACAGGCCCCATGTTTTGAACAAACAAGAACTGTGAGATGCAGCAAAAGGTGAATGCTGAAGAGGTCAACAGCAGCAGCAAAACTAATGTGTATTCAGGTCAGCATTTTGTGACTCTGTTCCAGGAGTGCAACAGAGAAAACAGCTTCTGCAGGGGCTGCTGGAGACCAGACTCTGTAACTGGGAGCACTGGGAGTTGGGTGCTAGTGCAGACCCCCCCCTCGATGCTCTGGGGTGCATCTGGTGAGCTCTCCAGGACTGAGGTCCCTGCAGCTCCCTTTGTTCCACCTTATGGTAGATGTTAATGTTTGGATTTTTGTTCTGCTCTATTAAACTTTATCAAATGGAGGGGAAAAATCCATCCTGATAAACTGAGCGGCTATGATGAAGCCAGATGTAACTGTGCTCTGTTCAACAACCCCCCGCAGGAGCCGGCCCTTAGCTCTGCTGGCTGCTGTGCTCTACAGCACACTTTGAACAGGGAGCTAAATGGAAAAGGACTTACGGATTGGTTTGCTATGGCTCTGCGGTGAGTCAGGCGGGTGTAAAAGCACCCAAGGAGGAACACTGAAGCGTTCCCAAAGGGATGGCTTGCACAGTGCATAAATCTGAGCCAAGCGATGCTGCTCTGAGCCCCATTAATAGCTCAGAGCTTGTCCTAAGCCGTCAGCAGTCACCAGACACTTCCAGCTCAAGGATGCCCTGTTCAGGCACCCAGCCACACTCCAGTCAGAAGAGAAGAGGTTGCCAGAAGCTAAGGCATGACAGACAGCTCATGCACAGAGCCTGGGAGGACTCAGTGGTCCCACAGCCACATAAATTGAAGCTAGCAGTTTATAAAATCCAAGGATTGATCTACAAGGCTCTCCAAGTTCCAGTTTAAATCACAAATTTCATCTAAGACAAGACATGGCCCTTAGTTTTATTTTTATTAATATTAAGAGCAGTGAGGAAAAACGGCACTATTAAAAAGCAACAGCTACTTGTAAATGAACAGATTTTTTCTATAGCAGGGTCATTTCTCCTGGTAACGAGAAGATCCTGTCAGGTAATCATAACCCTTACAGAAAAATGCTTTGCCTTCGCTGCTGTCCTCCAAGACAGTAAATCTGAGACAATCTGTCTAGTTCTTAAAATATAATTCCTCTTTACTAGAACTGATCTTCTAAACAGGCCGGTGGACATCTTCGCATGCCTTCCTTTTCTCTGCTTTTTCATTGGCAAAGCCTCCAATCTGCTTAGGATTGTTTTGTTCATCTCCTGGTATATGTGGTCTTGCAGGAAGGGGAAGTCTTCAAACAGAAAAATATCCTAAGCATCAGCCAGGGACTGCAAAATCCCAGGCTCCGACTTGAATTCTGCCAAGGAGACAATGTGCGGCCTTGGGAAAAATCAGCTCTCCTCCCTGCAGGCTCTCCATCTGCTTCTCGCTAATAAAATGGGATTATAAAACTGCCCCATCCCAAAGGGCAAGTAAAACTTTGAAGGTGAAAATTGTGTTACAAGCATGATACATTATCATAACACAGCAAAACCCTTTCAGGCCTCTTTTCCCTCCTATTCAGTGAAAAGCAGCCACATTTCAAAATGAAAGCTGTGGACCTGCTTTTCCATTTGCGCAGACTTCTTTCAGCAGGCGGCAGATTAAAGCTGAGAGAATAATCCATTGCAATTAATTTATTCAATGAATTTAGCCTCATTTTCTGCTCACAAAATGTCTGCAAGCCATTTACTGTTTTTCTCCCCCTGGTTTACTCATTATTCACAATTATAGCAGTGTAACTCTTGGTCTGTAAATTACTCTTTAACAATTAGCTGAGTGTATTTTAGAAGCTATTTGGGTTAGTTTCAATTTAATACACAGGGCATATTGTCTCTTCTTTCTCTACTCATCATCAAGAATAAGAAGAAAGGGAGCAGATGTGGCTGGGATTCAAACACCCGCGTTCTCCACTGCACCCAAACCCACCCTGGTCGCTCTCGGAGGCTGGTTGGCCTCTGCAATAAACAGAGCCCACCAGAGAGTTCCCTGTGCACTTTTCCCCACACAGGGCTACTGCTGCCCCTTGATAGGTCCAGCCTTGCTCTTTTGAAACATTCCTCCTGAAAAAAAAAGGCATTTTTTGAGAAACTGAGCATTATTTGTGCCTCTGGGTACTTTCTTACATTGTTTCAGGTACATGTTTTCACAATCATTTCCATCACCAGAAAGAGTTGCTGCAACATTAACAATTTCCTTCAGTGTTAACCAAAAAAGGTGGAATCCTTCAATGCACGTTGAAGGGGGAACACTGAGAAATGGCATTTCCACAGAAAATGGCTGGGGTTCCTGGTGGTAGCAGGGATGCTGCCAAAGTCCGTGCAAGTTACCACCAGAGCAGCTTCACCTTGGTTCAGAGACTTTTGAGCATTTTAATGCGCTCAGGGCTTCACAAATAAATAAATTGCAAAAATGCAAAAAGAGCTTCTGGAAAATGCATTAAGGCAATTTGCAAATAATTGCAGTGAGCTGGGCTATTATGACTTTGACTTCTGAAGTATAAAATCTCCCAGAGATAATGATTATAATCATATTGAAAATAGTTGCCACCCTTTAATCTTCTAAGACAAAACAGAGATCTTGGGGAATTTGGGACCCTGTCACTCTAATTGAGCATCTGACAGGAAAGTAATTAGAGTGGAAAGCAAAGGGGTCGCCTGATTGCCCGTGCAGGATTCATCAGCTTCCGCTTGCCATCACACGGGGCGGCCAGTTCGTCTCCTGCACAGGTTTCTCATTTAAATAGCTTCCTCGCCAACGAAGGGGCTGTCAGACAGCCTATTTCCAGAACAGATTTGGATCTCGGCAACTCACACGTAAAGATTCACCATTCATTTTGAAGACAGCTCAGGAAAAATGGCACCAAAACACTGGAACAAAAGTCATTGCCTGACGGCTCTGTTAGGATGCAGGATCTCTACCTGAAGCTTCATTTTTCTAAAGCCAACTGAAACACATCAAAAATGGGCTGTGCAGAGGAAAAAGCACCATTTCCAGCAGAAACATCGTCCTTGTTCCCCCAGCCCCATTTCCAACGCACAGTCTGCTGTTATGGGCCGTGTTTCCTGGGGTCAGGTGGGCAGCATGCTGCATCCTCAATGCCTGTGCCGCGTCCTTCAGGACATCAGGCACTGCCGGAGGGACAGCATCACACAGAGCGTGGCCTCTGACCACCAACAGCCTAGAGGTATGGGAAGGGTCCATGGGCAAACTGCAGCCAGGCTCCTCCGCAGACCGAAAGGAGATTTAGGAAGAGCAGTGAAAATTGCAAACTGCTGCTCTTGCGTTAAGGGAGACTCGGAGTAGATTTAATACAAGAGCCGTGGAATTCAATGGAAAAATCCCACTGGCTTCAAAAAAGTTAAAAATTCAGCCCAAATCCACTGCAAGCTTCAGCGCTCGGTGGGTATCTGTCAGTGTAATGCATGACATGGATGCGCAAAGAAATCAAAAGATCATCCATTCAGTTGATTCAGCAGCTGCTCTCAGATGGTTGAAGGGAAAAGTAAATACCAACTGACAGTCGCAGCATATTTCACAGACTTTAATTAGGGTGAAGTATGGAGGCAATTCCACCCTTGATGCCTGTCTTTGGGAAATAATTTGATTTTCTTTTTAGTTGAAATGCCTGTATCCCATTATGTGTTCTCAGCACGTAATTTTAACCTCAACGCATATTTTAACCTGACTATTTCATAAGGATATTTCCTCTGTTTTCCACACATCCCAGCTGTGTCCATCCTGCTGCAACTCACCCTCACAGCCCTCAGAAAGCACTTGTTTTCCAGCCAACTCATAGACATTCAGCTGATGCTGTTTAACTCAGGGTCATTGCTCAGGGCTAACTATAAACAAGCCTCCCTGCATTTTCAGAGCTCTGGATGAGGTATAAAATCAAATTACCTAGAAAAAGCAGCACTTTGAGAAAGTGAACTAAAGTAATTGAAAAATAAGTTTGGTGCTCAGCCAGTATAACATTTGGATTTTGAAATACAAATAGTTCCTAAGATGAGAGTTAAGCTCATATCAAAGAGCTGTTTTCTGCCTTCAAATAATCTTAAAGGAGTGAAAGAAAAAAGGAAACCCAAGCCACACAGTGTGGGGAAACGCAATGCAATGTGGATTATCATTTCCCAAGTCTGTTTTCCATAATTGATTTAATGCTGTACTTGGATACAGGTCCCGATTAACAAAACAAGAAGGTTTTCTATCTTTACTCATGATGAGAATTTTTTCAGTCAAGCACTCTAAAAGTCTCTCCAAGGTGTAACCACTGTGTAGGACTACACTTGCCTTAGTGCTGGCAATAAAACTCCTGTGATTATACTATGAAATACATAAATGTGAAGACAGTGACAACAGCATCCACTTGACCACACAGATACTTCTCTGGATACTCCCTAGAGCCTTCCAGGCTGCCCTCCTACAGTACGGCTGCAGTTAATTCCTAGCATTAATTCCTTTTATTTCTGCCCTGGTTAATCTGACAAATCCATCAAGCTCATCTTGCCCCCAGCCCAGAGACCTGCCGCAGTCTGTGACTCGGATCCAAGGACAGCCCAGTTCTTCCATCCTGCCCATCTTCCACCCAGTGGCTACAACTTCCACGTGCAGTGAAAATTCCCACTTTCCACCCTAGAAATAGATTCTTAACAGTGTCTCAAGAGCAGTGGGGAACACGGTACCCCACAAGTCGTTCTCTCGATGAGGCACCAGGACTATGAGAGGCACAAAGCTCAGCCTTGTCGCCTTTTGCTAAAGCTCTTGTGGAAGTGGGCTCTGACATGGACATCCCTTGCTGGCAGGGAGGTGCAGGGACTTGATGGAAAGATTCTGAGAACCCTAAAGCTGAAGAGGTCTGCACAGATCTAAGTCATACCCATCACCTCCATGCCGTTAGATTTTGGTTTTCCCTTGTTCTTAAACCTGATCAGATGGTGCTGCCAGCATTTGAAAATTTACTTTTTCTTAGTATCATCTCATTACTCTTTGTAATCCTGCTGGTGACATGCTAAATGGTTCCTCCAGTCCTTGATATTTGTATCCTTGAAATGCTCATGAAGAGTTACACTTCCCCTTAAGTCATCGTTTAGCCAGGCTATACATATTTAATTCTTTAATCTTTCCTCATAAATCCTATCCCAGCTTTAATCATTTTTGCTGCTCTTTGAATAATCTCCATCTTCCCAGAACTGGCACAATGAGCAGAGGCCCCAGCAGAGGCTGACAAGAGATGTACATTGACAGACAAGTGCAATTGCTCTGCTCTGCAACTTATTACCTGTAATCCGTAATTATGTTGTACTTTCATTCAACTTCAGTCTTAAAAGTAGAATTTAACCTACCATTAAAGTCTCTTTTGAAGTGTATGTTTCCCATGTGATGCTCCTCCAGTACAAGGATTTGATTTACGTCCTCAATACCTCAGGTCTAGGAAACAGCAGAGAGGCAGCTCTCCCCCTCTTTGCATCTTCCAGGACAAATACCAGATTGGAGAGCTTGTCCATAGGGATGGCAAACGTTTCCCTGCAAAAGTCAGGTCAAGATGATTAATTTGAATTCACCTCCATTAAATACCTCCAGGTTATATCCCCCAAAAGTGGGCTGACAAACTTCTTCTGTTCTTTGGCAGTAAAGTCACGGTACCAAAGTTGTTGTCCCTTTCCTAACACCCACCAGCTTATGATTGCAAGGGACCAGCCAAGGGTTTTAAAATGTTGGCGTGGAAAGCACTCATGAGCCTCATGCTGCTCTAGAGGAAGGGAAGGATGCAGGCTTTGACAGACAGATAGATAGATGGGGAGAGATGGATGCAGCCATAAATATGTTTAATTATGCAGTGTCACATTTCTGAGTAATTCATTTCTTCTCCTCCCTTTCTGGAATAACAAAGACAAATGTGAAAACTTGAGTTAAATTACAATACAGGACCAAACCTATTCATTTGGACTATGCAGATGGATGATTCATTCTTCAGCAGATGTGGTCTCAACCATGCAGTACACAGTGTGTTGAAAATTAGCCAGCAGAGAGCCGATAGCTGCACTGTATTATTACTTAATGTATATGATTAATACAGCAGCTCAATGTTATCTGTGATCAAACACAATACCTAATACAAGTATTTAGGAGTTTGCTTTTAAGCTCTATTGTTACAAGGATTTTTTCACTGAACAAGTCAGACATTATGCTGGGTCATCAGGAAAGCCATTACACTTTGCATCCAAAACTCAAATAGAACGGGTGAATGTTCCTCTCAAAGCCAGCTTATCTTACAAGACCAAGGCACAAATCTTGAAAACACAGAGCTGATAAGCTGCAAGAAACACTAAGTCGAGGAATAGCTTTTGCCTAAAAGAACACATGATCAGAACAGACAGGTTTTAATCATTTACTACTATTTGTTTCTATAATCAGGAAATTAGGCAGGACAGTTTTTCTCAGTCAAGGACCTGAGGACCCACAGTCAGTGCGTTAGACTCACCAAACATAGCCTGGGACTTACCAGTACTTACAATTGTACTCATGCTAAGGTAACTGTACCCATGACAGCCACTGCTGATTTCACAGCATAAGCAAAACTCTGCAGATTGATAACAGTGCCAAGAAGGGCACCAGGCTGAGCTGGTGGGAAGCTGGTCCTGCTGGAGGCAGCACACACAAGGAATTGCTGCGGGACGCAGATGCATTTCAGAAGAGTGTGGAGAACTTCCCACAAGGCAGCGAGCAGGTCAAAGCGATGCTGAAGCTGTGTGCAGTGATCTGTTTGCCATTATTAGACTTGTGAATGACTCACTGTTGCTATTTACAACATATTAATATTCATTAAGATGCTTTTCTTTTTATCTTATGTTTGCCAGGATGGTTTTGCCTATAGCCATAAACTACACCAGGACACTTGCAAGGTGAGGAAGGGTGGTCTACCACCCATTGCTCAAACCAGACAAGTAGTAACTACTACAGTAGAATCAGAAGGAGCAAAAGGCTCCATCTAAATAATTCAACACAGTTAAAAATCACCAGTACCTTTAAGAGAGCTTTAAAAGCATTCCCACTCCCTGTCCTGCTGCAGGTCATGGGCTCTGAAAGCAGCAGACAATTGTTAAGTGTTTCTAAACCTTCACAGGATTGTTGCATGCATCTGCCAATGTCTGAGCACCCCATCCACCACCCCATGTAGTGCCCTGCACACAGAGTCATTCCTGCTAAGCCAGGTCCTGCTCTTACCCTGGCATTTGGCAGCACTGGGATGGTGGATGCTCCTTGGACCCATGAGTTCAACCCCACCACCTGTCCTCTGCCTCAGGAGATGAAGAGCACCGAGGGGGTCAGTGAGAGTTGAGCCAAAGGGTCCAGGCTGGGTCCACTCACCTGTGACCTGCTCAAACATGCAGTGGGACTGAGCTCTCTGGCAGCCGTGCCAGGAGCTGACGGGCCTTTGCTGGGCTTAACCACCATGAGCAAGAAGAACAAGAGCCAGCACCCCCACCTTTCACTAGGATTTCTTTTTCCCTTTTTGTTCACCTTCAAAAAAACCCAACAAAGATGTATCAGGCAGAATTAAAGACTCACCTTGTGTTCCTCCACGTATCTCATTAATCTTTGATACCAAGTCTGCTGTAAAATATCTAGCTTTTTAATAAGAAGCCGGTAAGATCTTGGAAAGCAAGAGCTCGTACGAATTGCTGCTGTTGTCTCTAGCACAGAACTTTGACACCAGCAAGGCAGAGCACCACACACAGTGAAGAACACTGATTTTACAAACATGCAATTTATCAAATGACACAAATCAGCTAAATGACATGAAAATATATCTGGAGACTTCATAATGTCACCCTACATTCCTGATCGGATTTGACAGATACCAGCTGAAGAGAGCTGCTTTAAGCTGCTCAGAATACTATTACAGGGTAAGATTAATCTATCACTTTGATGCCAGCTATTTTCTCATCTCTTAGGGGTTTTCTTTCCTTCTAATTTTACAAGTGTTAAACTATTGACATGTTTCCTACTCTTCTAGTTAAAATTGCATCCTATTTTCAAATCAGAGTGCCTCTTCATACCTCAGTTATATGCTGAGCAAGCAGATGGAACAATTCGTTTTCAATCACTCAGTGGAAGGCTGGGAAGGAAAACCAGGTGAAGCAACCCATCAGTCTTCGGCTGTCTTTGACTAGGAGACAATGAGCATGAAGCTTATCTTCATTGGTTTCTGCTGCAAAAATGTTCTGATGCAGGATATTGCTGCAACTGAAAACCACTTTAAGTGAGGCTCCAAGCAGTAACATTGAAGAATGTTCTTGGGGGATTCCATATTTTCCTGATTTTCTTTTTCCTCTCCTTCGCATTTTCTATTTATTGCTATTTTGCTAGTCAGCAGCAGCTTCGCCATATTTCTTGGTGTTATAACATCCACAAGCCACATTCCCACACTTCAGCCCAATGTAGTAATTGCATCTAATTTACTAACTTGGATACTCCAACTGCTATTAGGCAGATACATAAGTACTGCAGAATCAGAATAGTTAGTTGCACCTACTTTTTCACCTACCTTGTCTCTATCACATTACAAGGCACAATCCAGGTCATATGCCCTTCTGTAATACACATAAGCTATGCACTTGAAAGGGGCCGAGACCGGCTGTACCCCAGCAGAAGTGGTATCGTGCGAGAGCACAGACTAAACGAGCATCCTGCAACACAATGTCATCTGAGCTCAGCCTGAAGCAGCAGAATACAAACAATTACGGACAAATACTCCCATATACTATCACTTATGTTGGACTGAACTCAGCCGCTTGTTTTCCCACTCTCCTGAAGCAGCAGAAGGGGAAGCTCTCCATGTCGTGGGCTAAAATCCCAGTTTTTCTCTTGCTGCTTTTGTTCAGTTTCTCCACACAGAAGGACCTCGATGTTTTTAAGAGGTGACTTATTTTTTATCATTAATATCGAACTTGATCTGTAGCAAATGAAGCCAAGTGAAAGAAACGTACGCTAATCTCTGATTTGCTCGGGAGCACGTTCAGCTCACCCCAAATGCAGCAGCGCCAGTTTCCTGGTGGTACCTTTTTCTGCAATCACTTTAAAATAATGAGGAGCAGAAATAAAACCTTTCCCATGAAGAGAAAATTTGGTGTAAACAGAGATGTAATTGTGTGAATGGTTTGTAGCAGAGCCCTTCATGGCCAATACCTGCTGGTTATGGCAATCTGAAACTTTGGAAAGGGAGCAAAACCAAACATTCTACAAAGCTCAAGGAACGTTATAAAGCTGATTCTCATCACTCCAAAGAAAGCTAAACCAAACTAAGGGGGGAAAAGCCAGGGCTGGCGTTTCCTGTGTTCCACTGCAGCTCTCCTCACTTAAGTTGCTTTGGGAGAAAGTGAAACTTAATTTAACACAGTTCTAAACAGTAACTGCTGAGATGATTAAATGAAGGCTCCAGAAAGCTGCTGTAGCCTGGAAGAGCTCAAGACTTCATCAGAGAAGCCGTGCCTCTCACACTGCACGCCTGATACCCAGCACCCAAAGGGCTCCCTTTCGGAGGGCTGGCTGTACTAGCTGCACACTTGAGGGCTTCAAATCGCATCACAATAAATCACAGAATCATCGAACAGTTTGGGTTTGAAGGGGCCTTAAAGATCACCTAGCTGAATATACTGGGAGGACAAAGACAATGGGGAAGGACAAGGGGCGGATGGCACTGTGCCTCTGGCTATCCCCATTCCTGATACAGCACTGGTCATAATCTCTGGGGTATTTTTTCATCCTCCAGCCTCAGTGCCCACAGGGTTCAAAGGAAGATGTTGATGAACAGTGAATAATGTGTCCGTGTCCATAGAGACAGCATTGGCCGTGCTAAGCACACACAGGTCCCTGGGGGCTGCTGGCCAGGCAGCAACCCCAACCCAGCCACAGATTGGTTTTCTGTAGGCAAGGTTCCTTGGACCATGTCATCGGTGACCCTTTGCTGCTTGTTACCCCAGCTATAAGCACATTGGATAACAAATGCTGCTTGAGACTTGACAAATAACTTGCCTCCCAGCTACTCCCTTATCCCACCTACTATGTGGTTCAGAATAGATGGTTTTGGCATGTTTTGAAGTACACGAAAAACTAACATGGATCATATTTGTATCGTCTAAGTTTAATACAACTTGATGTAAGGCTGAACTGGGTTAACACAAAACTAAAAATAGCTGCTCCTGTTACCAGGATTGTTCACTAATTTTGACACAAGCCAACATCTGTTTTTATTAGGAGCTCACAGGAGTAATTTATCTAAATGAAATTGTAGCACAGAATTAGCATTATGCACCTGGGCCTGCTGGTTTTGATGCTTTGAATTTTTACACAGCTTTCAAGGCCAAGACAAGACATCCCAAACGCATCCTGAACTGCCCTGCTATCACTTGCTGAATGTGTCAGACATCATCAGAGGAACAGAGCCTGCCTTTGGCATCCAGGCAGAGGAAGAAGGACCAGCAGCACCCTGGCTGTCTTTATCCCTGGGTATCTGGACTGCACCACATCAGGCATGCCTTGACTTGTGAAACCCACTAAAAAGATGGGGCATCTTCCTAAAGCCATTGTCCAACAGCTGCATTTTGATCTTTGGTTCAAAAACACCCAGTAACGAGAAAACAGACACAAAAACCCTGATGGACGTTTGCAGAGAAGGCATTTCTCCCGCACATGGGTTTTCAGAACCAGGTAAGTCCCCATGGATATGCGGCTGTTGGTTAATGACAGCAGCGATTGCACCAGGCTTGTCCTGTGAGGTGGGGATCCGAGATTCCGGCTGAATGGCTCCGTGCCCCTGGGGCAGATACTGGGTGATGCTAACTCCAGCTGTGCAGGACAGGAGAACCCCATGCTCAGTTCTGCTGCAGGTTCCTGCATATCTGCTCCTAAATGAGAGCCCTCTGAGGAATGCTGGTGGGGGAAAGGGGATTACCCCCCCACCCCCATCATATTATGGAGGGGAGGCTTGGAGGGTTTGCGCACAGGTGAACACTGGAAAATGAACAGAAACATTCCATACCTCGGCATTCCAGTTCCCAAGCATCCCTAGCAGTGACACTGGCAAAATACGTAGTCTACATCCTTCTATTTCCAGGGTCCAGCTCTTCCCATTTCTTGCTCTAGCTGGAAGCAGTGAAGTCACTCACTGCTTTCTGCTTCACACTCAAGTGATTGCTTGATCAGAAACAGATGTGCAGCTGCTGGATAGAACAAAACAAAATAGAGGTTGCAGGGGAAAACATGTTTATTCAGCCATAAATATCCCCAGCAGCACCCTGGGGAAAGCAACAACAACCGAAAATCACTTTGTTTCTCTGGGAAAAAGAGAAGGCAACTGAAGCAGCGCAGCACTGTGGGACCGAGGGGCTGCCCCCCTGTTTTCTTTGCACAAGTTCTGCCTTCCCAATTGCATCGCGCTTGTTCGGGTTTCCCGCGCTATCAATCACGGCTGCAGTCTGTCCTTTTGAGATAGCAGCTCCGGGTCACCCGGCTGCGCCGGATCCACCAGCCTGGCAGCGATGCCTCCTCTTGCGAGGAGCAAACTGCTCGCCCTGGGTCTGTGGTCCTGCGGCTCTGACCCACCGCAGTGCTGTGGAGGTGCTGCCCCTCGGGGGGCTGCCGAGAGCTGAGGCTGCCGTGCGCGCACTCACCTGCCCTGCCGAGAGGAGCAGCTCTGAGCCCGGTGAGCACCCACTCCGTTTGTCCCTTGGCAGTACAGCCACCACCCACAGAGCTGTTCTTGACTGGGGAAAAACCCAGACCCTTCTAGCTCTGATGTGCCACTCGGAGCCAGCGCTAACACAGCAGTGGAGACAGGCTAGGGCTACACAGCACCAGAGCTGCTGCTCTCAGAGGTCCCAGAGCTGGGGGCACCAGTTTGTAATGCAGAGGTGATCACAAAGCCCAAGCTCATGTCTGGGGCTGAAGCTTAACACAAACCGGAGCACACAGAAAAGGTACTGCTATCTGGGAGCACTTAAATATAAATTATGTCTCCTTTTAGTCAAGAACAGAAGCATTGCTCACGTTTTACATACGTGCTGAGTTCCCAGGGGAGGAAGAGCTTTACGCTCACCTTTAACTGAAGCATGACCTGATGTGTGTGCTTTCCAGAGAAAGGCTAGAACTGGGGCAGGTTTAGGAGCTCTGCCTAACCAAAGCCTGGAACAGTTTATTCCCTCAGCCCTAGAGGAACCAGCCCTCATCCCAGCTCATTCCCTGCGCTCCTCAGAGCTGACTGGAAGCTCCTGTGCAGGTGGCAGGACCCCCCCACCAGAACCAGGGTCCCTGGGCCCACAGCAGCCCCAAAACACCTGACCCAAGCCCCAGCCTGCAGGAGATGCACGTCCCGAACCTCTGGAGCTGAGGACTGGCATCTACAGCATCTCCTTAATCTGCTGAGGGAGCGGCTGCAGCTCCCTTCCAAAGGACAGGAAAAAGAACAAGCACTTTATCTGCAGCAGCTACAGACACTGGGGCTTTGCCTTGCCTCTGTCCCAGAGCAGTACAGGAACTCAACCGCCATTTGATTAAATTAATCCATCCGAAATACTCACCTTGCGACAGTTAGGTAAAACGACCTAATAAAACCTCCTCCAAACAAGGTAATTCACAGTTTCAAGTCTGAATCACGTTGGCCTGAGAATACAGCAACTACAGCAGGTACACGAGAGACACATGAAGGGATTTTAATTGCCTGAAACCTTCAGTACTGTCAAAACTGTGGGACAGGGAGGGAGAAGCCTTTATAGTTGTCTCACTGCTATAGATGAGTAGGGTGTTTGAGCTTGAAATGCTTCTACATTATAAGAGCTTAAAATAGTAATCAACTTCTCTTATTCAAATAGATATCTGTTTTTCACTCCCATGGCTTTCTGCATGTACCAAGTCAGTAACTAGGTCACGGAGAGAGGAGAGCTGTGGGAGGAAAATAACTTGTCTTATATGGGGATAATTCATGCAGCCAGTTCCTCTGCTGGGAGGCCATCCGGGGCTGGGGAGCACAAAGGTTCCTCTGGCTGCTGGGTGTGCTGGAGCACCGGCCTTGGCTGGTGTGCCCCATGGACAACTGCTCCCACCCAAACCCCCCCGTGCACCCCCAGCCCCTGCACATCACACTCCTTCTGCCCTTGGTGACCACAGGCTCAGACCAGGCAGGTAAGGGCTGCACCCACTGGGATGCAGTCACTGCCAGGGGAGCACCCACTGCCCGCTCCCAGTGGATGAGCCACCCATGTCAGGCTTCCCACGGCAGATGACGGGGAGGAGCTGTGGGGCAGGGATGCTCTATAGCTGAAATGTAAGTATTGCTCTGCTACCCAGTGGAGAACAGAGTAACTGAGCACTGAAGACAAGTTGCTTTCATACACTCAGAGTGGCTGGGGATGAAGGGACCTTAAAGCTCACCCAGTTCCAGCCCCCGGCCATGAGCACGGACACCTTCCACTAGAGCAGGTTACTCCCAGCTCAGCTCACCCAGCAGGGGGGGGGGAGCTCCCTCCATCCTCCAGAGAAACCTCCACTTCTCAGGGCTGAAACCAGAGGCTGCATTCCCCTAAGCCAGAATTCACATTACACCTTTAGAATGCAGCAAAATGAAGATGTTAATTATGAAGAGAGAAGCTGCCAGGATTATTAGAGGTGTGTTGAGCAAATTAGAAACTGTTATTCATGTGGAGAATAGTTTAGCATATGCTTGCAGTTCTTTTCATCTATTGAAACCCAAGACTCTAACATATTGAGCTGCTTCTTGTCCCCACGTTACCTACCTGTGGCAGGCAGATCATAACCAATCCCCACGCTTCCAATTTATTTCCATCTTCCAAAGGCACCTTTCTGGCACGGTAACGCACTGAAGCGCTGCCAACGGTGCCCTCCAGTGTATGGTGACAACTGGGCTGCAGCTCCGACAGAGAAAGTTCTGCAGATGGGTCCTTCAGATCGAGTTAGCATCTCCTTGCCACCAGCCGACTGTGCCAGATTGCAGCTTAATTAATAATAGGCTTCTCTGGAATATATTCATTAGAACAACAACAACAAAAGCTGCCTAACGCAATGTGGCAGGTCCTCAGCCACTCACACCGGCCTCACGCGGCAGCAGCCACATCCCTGCTGAAGCAACAGAGAATTTCCATTATGCAGACGGTGAGAGTGTTGGTTTGGAGCTGAAAGCACAACCGAGAGGTATTTGTCTCAGCAAACCTTGCAGAGCTGGTTAGGGGGCTCCTGCGTGTGCCTGTGTAAGAGAAAGCACGTGAGGGCTCCTCGACGGCTCTGACTCCCAAGCATTCTGAGCTCCTGCTGGTTTTCAGGTATTTGCATGCTCTCTCAAGCATTTAATTTGCAGTTCTTCTTTCCTGAAACAGGCACGTTGTAGCTGTCACAAACTTGTATGCACACAGAATCATACCAACTTGCATGTACAACCAAGCAACTGAGCATGCCCAAGCTGTGTATGAGCAAGAGGTTGTATAACAACAATAGCTTCACAGTAGTTATATTAATGCCCATTTATTTCTAGGTATGATGTTCTGAATAATTTGCAGTAAAACTGCAAAATAATGTGATTTTATTCTTTATGGTGCCCACAGTGGGTTAAGTATGATGACATGCAGATATGCTGAATTGTGAATGTACAGATCAGATGCAGACGCTGCTCTGATGTATTGGAGATGGAGGCACCATGAGAGGGTGATCAGGGACCCATTCAGGCAGCAGAAGCTCACGGGTCAGAGGAGCTGGGTCTCTCTGAGCCCCCCGAGGACCCGGCTGGTTCCTGCCTGCCAGAACACAACAGAAAATTACAGACCACAACCTCCAAAAAGCGCTCCTGAAGCGAAGCTTTTGAAGACCGGAGATCAGCTCCGAGGCACGGAACACCCGCAAGGTTGGCAGCGCATTGAGCGGCTCTTATGCGACGTTACCTCAACCATCCAGCTCCAAGCCGGTGTGTGTACGTTGAATACTAAAATGATGCCATCGTTGTACAGAGGCACAAAAATCTGCTTCCCCAAACCCAAGTGAAGCCTGAAGCCCATCAACCAGAAGTGTCAGAGCTGTGAGCAAAATGAGGGGAAAAACCCAAGATTATCTTGAGGCAATTGTAGGCTTTTCATGAAGGGAGTCACGCTAGGCTCAGCGGCATGTCGCATCACACAGACACGTACATAATACTGACAGACTAACGCTGGATCCATACAGGAATCAGAGCTGCTCATTCAGAAGCTTTTAGCACACAGCTGTGGATGAACATTTGGCACCTCACCTCTGGACCAGAGCACAGCTGGATGGCAGCAAGCTGCGGGACTGAGCGTGCAGACAGGGCTGACCTTCATGGCACTTCACAGCAAAGAACCGTGTTGGTGGCCAGCAGGAGCTTCCCATAACTACAGGTGACCACAGGATGAGCCCCACACGCAGACTGGGTTATCAGCAACTGAAGTACATGGCTCCTGATACAGAGGCAGCAAGAAGTCTTAATCCTTGCCTGGAGTTAGTCCTGGATGGTTAATACAGGGGAAATCGGGTATTTGCTGGTTTTCCCTAGCCTAGGTTTCTTAAATAAATACTAAGTCACAACCAACCACGCTGAAAGTGCAAATGTGTTCCTGCATCAGAACAGCCATCGCGGTGCACAGAGAAACCTCTGGAGCAGATGGACAGAGCGAATAATTACATCTGACAGCTGACAACAAGACTAAGGCGGCGCCAGTCCCATGAAATATCTTGTACTTTGAAAGAGGTTGAGCTTAAAAATCCACACACAGCTCAAGCCCTGACTGCTTGAACTGTGTTTGTTTTGCTGCTCCTCCATCTTCCTAATGCTCTGTCCTGCCGGTTTCTAATGAGAAACTGTCCAAAGCTGAGCTATGAATGCAGAGCACACAACCTTAGGGCTGTATGAAAACCAATGGTCTCTGATCAGGTGACTCTCTCACTTGGCAGCCCAAATATGAAAATAAAACATTTATTTTCCCATCTATAACTGCATATTCTTGCTTTCTACTACCTATTTGCCTGCATTAATTCAGCATTAATTCAGGTTCTCGGAGCAGGGCTCTGCCCTCCAGCCCTGGTGGTGGCTTTCCATCCATTCCAACAACACACATCAACATTTGATAAAAAGCCATAAAATATGCTCCAGTCTGGTTTTATCTTCTCCTTTTGAACATGCAAATAATTTGCCTCCATCTTACCCAGAAGCTCAACCAGCAATAGGAAAGAACAGGATCATTTACTGGCTGGTGCTGGCAGAGGGAAGGGGCAAAGGGGCAGGGCAAGAGGGAAGGTGCTGTGCAGCCTCCCTTCTCCTCAGCCTTTTATCACCACATCCCCCCAGTCTTTTCCATTTCCAAGTGAAGGGAAAACCTGAACACGAGCTCCCACTTGCCACCGTGCTGCTCTTCCCAGTCACCTGCTCTCAGCACCGGGGTTCCTCTCCCTTTCTCCATTCTCATTAAACAGCCTACCCTCCCAGTTCAAACCCCATAAGTGCAATAATCAATTAGTGAATCAAATTGATTTGGCACTGGAAAAGGGCTGTGACAAGGAATGGGGCTGGCTGCAGCCTGCGGTTTGCTCGCTGTTACAGGGCAGTGCTTTGGTGAGCAGAGCCTCAGGACTCCCTGTGAGCTCCCAGCCCAGCACCCTCCCGGCTGTGCTCCACAGCCTGTGTCCATGGGCAGCCCACAGCCACCAGCGACCACAGACTTGATCTGCACACAGAGAGGCACCCAAGAGTTAGCTCAGCTTGGATTCTTTGTCCTCTCTGAGGATCAGGGAGGGGATCAGAAGGAAGAACGTGGCAAAAGGCAGCAGCGCAGCAGCCAGGATACAAGGATACAACCCAGGCACTCCATGGATGCTTTCATTGACTTTAATGAAGCTCCTCCCAGACTCACCAGCTCAGAGAGATTAAAGTACAAGCAATCACATCAAGCAGCTCGGGTGGCACGAAGCTTTCCCGTCAGCCCTCCCAGTGAATGCACACTCCAACCCATCGCAGTTTGCTTTGCGGGAAGCCACGCTGACCTACTTTAAGCCCATTTATATGTACTCCACGGATGCGTTCACTCACTTTATAAACAGAATATTTTTGCCTTGGTTAGACAAATGTACCCTTTATAGAAATCCTTCTTGTCCTGCAAAAGGGATGTTCCATTGTGAAATACTGCACGAGGATTGCTTACAAGAAATCACCTTGCATTTCCATGTCATCTTAATCATTTGCTATTACTATACACACAAAAACACACCCCTAACCAGCCTTCAGCTCTGACTCACCAGAGCTGAGAGCGCTCTTCTGGAAATACTCAGTGCTTTCTTGCCCATCCTAAGTACTGGAGCTTTGAAATCACACCTGAATCTCAACTTCTTTTTCTCAGTGAGGGGTGCAGCCTCGTTAGCTGGAGGAGCCGACAACCCTTTTCTGCCTCCTGCTAAATGAATTCTTTTTGAAACACCCATGAAGAGTACACACGTGAATGCCCCAGATTTGAAAGCCTGATGCACACACTAAGTCATTTCCCTGGTGATGCTGCATCTCCTCATGGCTGTGGAGCAGGGTGTTAGCAGGCTGCTGGAAGGACACAGCCCCTCCCAGCAGGCGGAAGCCTGTGCATGGGGTGGGATGCACTAAACAGAGCCAGGGACCAAGTCATACCTGTCCTATTTAGGTGCCCAAGAGCCGCACTGGAACAGAAGCAAACACAAACCAGGAGCAGGGCCAGGGACTGCAGAGCTGCACAGGGGGGGTGGAACAAGCAACAGGAACCTTTCACAGCACCCACAGTTCTCTGCCCGTATTTTCAATGCACATTAGGAGCTTCCTTTATGCTTAAACTTGAAAACTTGCCTACAGCAGCTGGAGCTCTTTGACAGCAATTAGATAAGATGGGTTCACTAGCAAGTTAAATTCACCCACAGCCACCCCTCCTTCTCCTTCCCACCCATTTCATGTTAGCAGGTGAGCTCTGTTATGATATCTAAAAAGTTACAGCCTGCTGGTGTTTCACCTTCTGCCCTAAGTAAGTCAAAGCAAATCACGAATCTGTTACCAAATGCATCAAATACTGAGAGATTAAATGATTTTGAAGAACCCCAGAAGCAGGCTCTCTGTAAACAGCTCACACAGAGCAGAGGTGCAGTCCGTTCAGCTCCTAGAGGCCAAACTTGCAAACTCATTACTATGTGTAGATACCCGTTTTGGAGGCTTTTGTCAGAGGCAGGCTTGTGCCCTTCCAGAGCCACACGAGAGCTAAGCCAGGCGCAGAGGAGGACTCCTGCCATCCAGTCCTCAGTGGCTTTCATTTTTTGCTCCACTTCACAAGCAATAACTGTGGGATGATAAGGATTTGCAAAACAAACAGAAAGCTGCACGGCGCTTGTGTTTGGAAGCTCGGAGCATGAAAATCCATTTCAGGGCCTATCTCCCCCCTCACTGCGATAAAACCCTCCTGAGTGTGCTGCATAAACCAGAGAATCACAGAATCTCCTACCAGAAACATAAACAATCCCAAACCTTGTTATTTTCTTGGCACAGTCAGGGCTCGGAGCACAGGACCTGAGCCCCCGTCCGTCTGCAGTTTGCATGTGCAAAAGCTCTCCTCACAGCTGAAACGGGGCGAGAAAGGATGCTGCCTTCCACACAGCACAAAACCAAGCAGGTGCCATGGACCAGCCCTGATCCGGCGCCCCGGGGCAGCGCGGAGCGCCTGAGTTCCCACAGCCCGGTGTAGTTTCCCTCTGCTCCATCCAAGCCGAAACTGCAGCATCCGTCGGACACCCGGGAGCGCTGGAGCTGCCTCTGCTGCTCCCAGCCCCAGCACCCGCGCTAACGGGCTTGCTCACAGAGGGGTTCAGATGTGACTGATGGAGCCCTGGTCAGCAGAGCCCCTCCGTGTACAGCCGTGCTTTGCTGAGCGCTTGCTTTTCCATCCCAGAGCAGGGAACCCGCTCCCTGTTTTCCACAGGCGGGCAGGGGGCACAGCTGCTGCAGGGAAAGGGCCCCCTCCAGCAGGCGCTGCGGGTGCTGGGAGCAGCCTCCCCAGGAGCCCCGCAGGGCCGTGCGGGGCCGGGGCTGCACTTGAGGGGTGGAACGCATTTAAGGAGTGTTTAAAACCTCTGTGCCATCCGCGGGACTTTGTAACTCACGCACCCAGGGGAGCGATGCTGCTGCTGCCCGGAGGAGGGACCACATTCACCGGGACGCGCAGCTTGTCATCTGACGTTACAATGAGTTGCTTTATGTCAACGCTGAAAGCACAGATTTGATAGGAATAAAAAGTAGAGTGGACAAACATAATGGAGGGAAATCCATTAAGAGACAGTAAAGGCAAAAGATTTGTTTTGCTCTGCAGGTTTCAGGAGCTGAAACCAGTCTGAGACGGGTGAGTATCTGAGGGAAGGTCAGAGATCTGCCTTGTTCTCCTCTCTGCCTCTGCTGCTGGCCACTGCTGGAGATGGGTCCTGGCAGTAGCCAGAGCACATCCCAGGGTCAGTAGGATACAAGCAACTCGCATCTCCATGTACACACATCCTGTTTGGGAGGAGAGTAGAATAAAGCTGTTTGCCTCACAAAACTTCAAGACATTTTATTTTCAGAACAATAAAGCCCCGAAGGGGAAAGAAGCAATTTTTTTTAACATAAAATTTCCCCTTTCACTCAGAGTCTTCACAACCTGTTAAAAAGCCTGTTGCTGTCTCTGCCTTGCCAGTCTCCAGCTCTCCCTCTATAGGTTTAAACTAATTAATTTCCCAGAATAATAACCTCCCAGGGACATAGAGCTAGACAATCCTTAGCTCCTCAGGAAGTTAACTTCCTGTAGGGTTGGGTAGCAATTACAACTCATCTGTCATGTGTCTTACGAGGAGACGACAGGGGTCAACACCGATTGTTTTTTCAGGAGCACTGTGAGAGAAAGCAGGAGAGTGGGGGTGTCCCTGTCAACAAGAACTTTACAGGGAGAGAGCGTCCAGTGATGCACAAGAACATACACAGCTCTTCCACCGGAGCTTGCACAAGGCAAACCCTCCCTGTGGAGCAGCAGCGGGCTGGCTCCTATCTCAAGGTTTGCTTTCCACAGAGCAGGGTGGAACCGTTTAAATAACCTCCCAATTAGGCAGCAATTAGCCTATTCTGGGCATCCGCACAATGACAAGAACAGCTGAGGCTAAACTGTTTCCACCTGAACGACAGATATTGACCGCACTTCCTGAAGAGAGGGCTCGAAATATTGATCCAGATACCTGGAGAACTGAGCATGTACCCATGAAACTTTAAACTGTAGGACAGATGGAGCCTAGTTCTCCAAACAATGGTACTACTGCTCTTATAATATAGCATTAATTCAAATGGGGCTCCTGATGCTAGGTGGTGAATGCAGAACTGTATGAAACCACTCCTTAGCCCATCAATAGCAATAACCTGCGAGATGTTAGGCTGGTGATCAGCAGCTCCCTGCTGCCCCAGGCCTGGTTAACACCAGGTTTCCAGCTGAAAAACACATCTGGAAACCACTTGCTCAGGGAGGAGTGGGAGGCTCTGGGGATGCATGCCTGGGCCCATGGCGACGTTCAGGGGCATCAAGCGCAGCTGAAGTAAAGAATTCATTTACCGAGGTAATCTATTTTCCTCTCTGATGTCCACCTACCGCAAAATTTACACCTGTGGGATTGATTGGAGCCTTTCATGGTCTATTTTTGACCTATACATTGCATATATTACAGTGCAATAAATCTGACATTTCAAATGCCAACAAATGGCTACAAAATTGGCCTCTGGTGAATAACAGCCCAGCAGTATTTACATGTAAGTATTTTGCCCCAGAATTTAATTTGCTAGACATAAAAGTTACGCTGAATGAAAGAGCACTGCATAATGCTCGTTAAGCACAGGGGAGAGACAGCGTTACTATAGGCACTGCAGCACGTGTCACTTCCCCAGCCATAAAGCAAATTCCCTGCGCAGCGGAGCTTTTCTGCCTCAGATGTAGACCACGCTTCACGACAAACGGCTCTGCTTGTTTTGCAAAGGCTGGAAGTGTGTAACTCATCAGTCACCACACTGCAGGTGTACGTGGTTATCTGAGTTACCCCCGTCTGAGTGCAAACCCGTGTCCTCCAAGGCCAAGGAGGAGGAAGAGGAGGGAGGTGCTGTGGCCGCAGAGGCTAGCAGTGCTTGTTGGACTTGAGATCCACGCTGACACCACAAACAGTTACAACACTGACAGCAAAAGGAAGATTTTAGTCCATACTAGTGGACCTTGATGTCTGCTGTGGCACTTAATTCCATCAAGGTGATCTCTGGCTGCTCCCGGTGAGGGTGAAAAGAGTGCATTGCTGCTGGCCACACGTTTGCTTTTAGAAGTCATCCTTTGTGGGGCAGACAAGCCCTGGGTTGTGGCTGACCTCTTAAAGAGTAGTGCGCTGTGAGCACTTCTACACACATAGCTCAGATTCAAGCAACTCCAAGCAGTTTCTGGCAGCTGTACTAGTCAAAATATAACTACTGTTAAATATAACCACTGTTAGGAAACAAGAGATCATCCCATCATCTAAATATTGGCTGAGCATGGCCGCGCACAGGAGCCAGGCAGGAACAGCACACTGCTAAGGAGGATGCAGCGAAAACTTGCATATAGCATCTTGTCCTGGTTTTGACAAAACAGTGACGTGAAACTAGATTTGATTAACAGCGTCCAAAACGTAAGGGTTAAACAGCTCATTTGTACACCATATGGGTACCTAAGGCTGTGACCAGCGCCTGTCCTCCTGCCCCGCTGGTAATGTGCTGACTTGTACAGGGTGCGCAGGGACTAAAGGATTTATTGAACTCCAGCCCATCCTTTCCAGACTGATACCTGGCTCTATGTGATAATAAAGCAGCATTTTTTGCATGCCTGGGCTGCCCAGAATTATTACCGCTGGATGACAGCAAGCACTGAGTGAATGTGAAGCAGATGGCATTTGAGAAATTTCATATTGGTTCCATCTTGATTTACCCCAGATAAAGTTCTTACGTAACTTTGACATTTAGTGGTTTAATCTAGGGAGATATTTCCCATTTCTTACCTATACTCTACCTCTTTTCTTATTATTTCTTGAGATTTAATGTTAAATGTTGATCATGTCACTGTTGAAAGAGATTAACTCTTCCAGTCGCCAGGGAAAAGCAATCAACGGAGCATGATGTGAGCTGTCTGATCACCGTATTTCAGACCCAGCTCTTTGCTTTTCTGGCTGAATGCATGTTTGTTAGCACAGAGCCAAGGACGAGCCTGGAGCAGCTGGGGACTGGCAGGGAAAGCTCTTTCAGCAACACAAACCAAGCCATTAGCCACCTCCGAGACGCCTTGCACCCCGGGAAGCCTGGGATCTGGACACACTGCCCACCCTCCGCAGAGGGGTTCGGTGTTTACACTGGTCATGGGCGCTGCTTGCTCAGTTCTGACTTTCACAATTGCCCACATAAGGGAGTTCGAGCCTGGAGGCACTGCCAGGGCAAGGACTGCAGAGCCCAACAGCAGCTCTTTGTGCTTCCTCCAGTCCAGAAACCCTGCCCAACCCATCGGCTGACAGCACAGCTCATGGCATTTCACACGAAGTGGAAGCCTACAAGGCTGGATGCAGTGTGGTGCAGCCTCTGGATCAGAGTTTACTCAGGTACAGCCGCCTGCTTTACCTCATCAGC